TCACTCTGGTGAACGAGAAGCCGGTTACATCGAGTATTCGGGGCACCATCCGACACCTCAGGGGTCAGGCCGGCCGCTTTGCACCATGGCGCGGGTATAAAGCCTACATGCTCTACAACCTCGCCTTCAACGTCATTGGAAACATCATGTTGGTCGCGTTGCCCCAGAATGCCTTTGTCATGGTCGTCGTAACCGCCCTGAGCGGCGCCCTGGTTTCCCACCTCCACGCAAACTGGGCTCACAAGGTCGTCTCCATGCCGAACACCAAGTCCTGGAGGCAGCGTCTGCTGCCCCGTGAAAACTGGAAGAACATTGCCCTTCCGGCTGCCGTCGCCGCTTGTGCTGACTATGTCGCGATCATTGTAGCGGGAGCGACGGTTTACCTGATCGGCCTCTTCGACGTGCTACCCAAGGTTGGCGACTCTCGTTCCAAGGAGCTTGCCTTTTCGGCCATTATCCCGCGCGCTGTGTGTGTCGTAGCCGTCTTTGCAGCCTGCATGCTGTTCATTTCACTTCCTGCTCATGTCACGCTCGTTCGCGTCGAGGCATCTCTGCTCCCAGACAGCGACGAGACGGTTGTTCCGTTCGATCGCACCTTCGCCGGAAAGGTCGTCCCTAGACTGCTTGGTGGCACTGGCTGTGTTGGCTTCGTTGACGCATGGAGGAGCTTCAACTGGGAGGCTCGACGCAGGCTGGTCAAACTCTACGCCAAGGCAACGGCCATCGTGAGCCTGGTCATGTTTGTCTTCGCCTTCGTCTTCCTATTGATGACCGTACTCATCTTTGCGGCCGAGAATGAACGTCATGCGCGGGAGTCGGAGAGCTTCCGCAATGGCCATTAGGCATTCCTCTCTTATTTTCTTGCTTCACGTTCAGCTTTCACATATCCAGAAATTGTTTTGGATTTGGTTTCGGTGTTGACGTAGGCGTGGTTGGGAGTCTGTAGTAAGGATGAAGTGTTAATAAAGTAGCGGTTCCCTATGTCGCACTGGTAGTCAATCAACGTGTCTAAGATACTCTGACCGACGTCACGCAGATGCAATTGGTACCTATTGAAAACCGGCGAAATGATGGCAAGCTTTTATCTACATGGTGTGTCCGTAGGCGTCATCCCCAGGGCGTGCTCGGCGTCAAATCGGCCAGTTGATAATTCCATCCATGATGGTCAGCATATGCCCCCTACCTTGTGATGTGCAGCCAACGGAGAAGGGACTTCTTGACATCGGCTTGATCGAGACGAGCTTATAACGGAAGCGAATATAGAGCGTCGTCGCACAGGAAGACTGGCGGCCTGAGCAATAAATCTGGGGAGATTGAGAGCAAATTTGGGCCTCGGTCACATAACTCGGGCTTTTCCGTTCCGTGGGGAGCCAAGGTTTTAGCGCCTGGCGGCTCAAAGTCTTTTCCACTACTTCGTCATCCTCCCGTCCATCTCAACACCACAACACAACCCACTCTCCTCTCATTGTTGTTTCTTTCAGCGATTGATCCCATTCCACAGCCATGACTGCCAACGTTCCTTCGACGTCGACCGGCTCGACCAAGCTCGATGCCCTCAAGCAGACCGCCATCGCTGCCGACCCGACCAAGCCCAGCGGCCTCGGTCTCTATGCGCGATTCGCCTTCGCTGGTGCCGTGTGCTGCTCCGTCACCCACGGTGCTCTGACCCCCGTCGACGTGTACGTCTTGCGCCCCCCTCTGTAGTGCCCGCGGGCCTCAATTGTCTACGGAACGCGCGTCGTCGCGCAGTGTTCGGACGTGCGGCTAACCATCGCGACAGTGTCAAGACCAGGATCCAGCTCGACCCTATCACCTACAACCGCGGCCTCATCGGCGGCTTCAAGCAGGTCATCGCAAAGGAGGGCGCTGGCGCCGTATGGACTGGTTTCGGTCCCACCGCCGCTGGCTACTTCCTCCAGGGCGCCTTCAAGTTCGGAGGATATGAGTTCTTCAAGCAGCAGTCCATCAACATGCTCGGCTACGAGACCGCCTCCAACAACCGCACTGCTGTCTACCTCGCCTCTTCCGCCCTTGCTGAGTTCTTCGCCGACATCGCCCTCTGCCCGCTCGAGGCCACCCGTATCCGTCTCGTTTCTGAGCCTACCTTCGCCAACGGCCTTGTTGGTGGCTTCGGCAAGATCCTGAAGACCGAGGGTGTCGGTGCTTTCTACTCTGGTTTCGGCCCCATCCTGTTCAAGCAGTAAGTGCTGCGATGCTGCTATAAGTGACAGTCTTTGACAATTTCTAGGGTCCCCTACACCATGGCCAAGTTCGTCGTCTTCGAGAAGGTCAATGAGGCCATCTACCGCACCGTCGACAAGTCCACCGCCTCCAACGGCATGCAGACCGTCATCAACCTTGGCTCCGGTGTCATCGCCGGTTTCGCCGCTGCCCTTGTCTCCCAGCCCGCCGACACTATGCTTTCCAAGATCAACAAGACCAAGGGCGAGCCCGGAGAGGGCACCACCAGCCGCCTGATCAAGATGGCCAAGGAGCTCGGCTTCCGTGGATCCTATGCTGGTATTGGCGCCCGTCTGTTCATGGTACGTGACACCCAGGGATTTAACATAGACGTCCACTAACGCCAATCAGGTTGGTACTCTTACCGCCGGACAGTTCGCCATCTACGGCGACATCAAGAAGGCTCTCGGCGCCACCGGTGGCGTTGAGATTGCCAAATAGACGACGAGACGAGTGTAGAGAGTGGGGTGGTTGAACGATCTGCCTGACAGTCATGACATTTTTGGGATCACTTTCGCGCCAATTTCTCGCGGAACGGAAAAGTCAGCCTGTCTTCTTCTTGCATATGATTCCTTACGGATTTGGTTCTTTTTCTTTGATCTTGCGGTTTTCTGCAGCCTATCAGCATAGATTCCCTACATGGCTACTGGCTGCATAGAAGGCCGTGGCATCTACACTGTAACAGTACGATTAGGATTGCTGCGCAATAGACGGCATTAATCTTGACTTGCTTCTATGACTTACTTCTATGACTTACTTCTATGACTTACTTCTATGACTTACTTCTATGACTTACTTCTATGACTTACTTCTAAGACTTACTTCCATAACTTACCTCTATAACTTACTTCTATGACGGAATTCGTCCGTCGCGTTCAAGGTTATGCAGCCGATTGGTCATTTCTGCGGTCGGATGGTCAGTTCTGCAGCCAGATAATCATATCTGCGACCAGATAATCATTCTGTAGCCGTATGGTCATATCTGCGCCAGATGGCCATTTCTGCAGCCGGATGGCTAGTTTGGGTTCAGTCACCTGCTTTCACTGTCTCATATACGCGCCCTCTCCTTAGCGATCGTCCTCAAGTACTCGACCCCCGTCTCCTTCGCCTCCTCGTTCAAGGCATCAACCTCAGTCTGCACGAACGGTATTCCCTCTCTCAGTCGCTTCTCTTTCGTCTCCAACTCCACCTCCCCTGGGAAGTATATCCGCTCCACGCCCTCCGCCCTCTCCGCCCGGACAACCGTCTCGTACAACGTATCCATCCTCTCCCCAAACTCATCCCGGCTCATAAACAAATCCAGCTTGATAGCAACCAGGAAATGTCCCACGTCGGCCACACGCGAGGCATCATACGGACTCGCCACACCCCCCGCAAACGCACTTCCACTCAGAACCCCAGAAAACACATCCATCATGACCGCGAGCGCGCTCCCTTTCGGCCCGCCCATAGCTAACATGACGCCTTCGAGCGCCTCCTTCGGATCCGTCGTCGGCTTCCCGTTTTTGTCCAACGCCCACCCCTCTGGAATCCGCTCGCCCCGCCGTACAGCCTTGTACACTTTGCCCCTTGCAACGACACTCGGCGCCATGTCAACTATCATGGGTTTTCCTCTCTTCCCTGCCGGCGCTCCAGCGGCGATTGGGCTCACGCCCATGAGTTTGCCTTTGCCACCATAGACGGGCAGGGCAGGCGAGGAGTTTGTGAAAACGAAACTTAGCATCCCGGCGTCTAGCGCTTGTTGCACTATCCATGCGCTCATGCCGAAGTGGTTGGAGTGTTTCACGGAAACCATTCCGATGCCGTAGGTTCGCGCCATCTCGATCGCGGCGTTCATGCCGGCGTGTGCGGCGACGAAGCCAAAAGCATTGTTTGCATCCAGGTGCGCGACGACGGGTGTGAATTGCCGGAGAGTCGGTGTTGCAGAGGGGCTCAAGACGCCGGACCTGATGCGGGCGATGTAGCTGGGGAGACGCGTTATGCCGTGAGTGTCATGGCCGCGGAGATCAGCTTCCACGAGGGCGTGGGCGACGATGGAGGCGTCTTTGGGGGAAACGGAGTGGGCGGTTAAGAGGGCTGTGGTGAAGCGAATTGCAGCTGCGGGGGAGACGTGGACGTAAGAGTTTGGAGAGGACATGGTGGGAGAGGGAATGTTAAGAGCAGGGAAGACGTATCATTGTGGGTTCTGGCTATGTCACTGAAGTTCAAGAGGGGGGTATCTTTTGGTGGACTGCATGATGGTGTTGAGTTCATGCCCAGACCGAACCCTGGCGGGGTAAACGGTAAACTCGCCTTGTCACGATCTCCCCGTAACGATAGCGCCCGCTATACAAATCCCTGGATTAGGACCTACCAGCTCCCGGCGTTTTCCCTCTACACATCATCAAGCGGTGCTGTCATGACTATTGTAAGCTCCTCCGAGATACAACCCGCGAAGATTAACTAATCTAATTGTAAACAAAAGCACAGCTCCAGAGCTTGAGGAGACCTTCCCTTTTGTACCCTATATCAAGTCTTGGCGCTTACTAAGTATTTATTTAGCGTCAGCTATAGCGACGAGTCTAGCCCGGGTCCACATCGTCATAACAGGAGTCTTGATGTACTTAGGCGGAGGACGCTACTTCCCCAGACTGCTCCAAAAGGACACCGGCCCGGTCTTGCTGCCACTCCTGCCGATTGGCCTCATATAAGACTGCAAAAGAGCACGAAGACGCTTCGAATGGGCAAAAGAAGACGCGATCAAAAGAACAAAAAGAGATGGGCCGAACCGGGATTTGAACCCGGGGCCTCTCGCAGATCAGGAACGAACCCAAAGCGAGAATCATACCACTAGACCATCCGGCCGTATTCTCTGATTGATGTAAGGTATAGCAAACGTTTACTCTATGACTCCGTTCAGCCTCTAAGAGCAGTGTACATGGGTTGTTTATCGTCATCTGCTCTTCAAGACGCCCCACGGTTTGCCAATGCAATGGTTCCCGTCTCCCAGTCCACCATGCATCACAGTTCGTCCCACTTCTGGGGGCTGAGACACGCACCCGCTCATTCGGACTGCAGGTAGGCTGTGTTTAAGGACTATGCATACTGAGGGGTCCAAACGAGCTCTTATAGGCCGCCTCTACACTCCATCATGGCAACACAGCCGTGTTTCCAGCCTTTGGGCTTTATCCGGCACTGCGCTGGCCATGCAGCAAACTCTTTATTGTTCAGAGACTCGAACATAATCGGCGACCATCTTGGTGAATTCGAGTATATCATGGGGTTCGCCCATGCGCAGTTGCGCCTTCCTCCTCTGGCGAGATATAGCTCCCCTGTACTTGAGTATGACGACCCACGAATACCGCACTCTCACTCCTTACACCTCCATTCTAGGAGTCAAACAAATCCGTCTTCTGAAGATTACGTCTTCGCCAGCGTGGCCGGGAAGCACAGATGGCGATCTCAGAGCTCGCATTCAGACGCACGACCTCAGCACTGCACCTCCGTACACAGCTCTCTCGTATCGCTGGAGCGAGTGGAGAGATGACAATCCAGAGATTACGCTGAATGGGACTTATAGGACTCGCATCATGCAAAACCTTTATAACTATCTGCTAACAGTCCCTGTCGGCCATTACGGACCTAATCCTGAGAGCGAGTGGTTGTGGATTGACAGTCTGTGCATCAATCAAGGATCGGACGAGCGCGCCTTACATGAACGGAGCAGGCAGATCTTGACCATGGGCGACATCTACGCAGGAGCAGAGCGAGTAGTCGCATGGCTCGGGCTCCCTTCAGACGAGTTCAACCCACTTGAGTACCTGCAGGTTTGGCAGAAGTGGTTTGAGAAAGAGGGAATGGACTGGTCTCCACGCTATCTCGAGCAGATCTGTGACAACGAGTATTGGGAGAGAGCGTGGGTGGTCCAGGAGATTGGTGAGCTTCTTTTCTCGTCTGTGACGAACAGTAACTGACTTTTCTCGCAGTACAAGCGCGAGATCTTGAGATCCGACTGGGCAATCATGTTATGTCATCTGACACGTTTCGAGCGTTTCTCGACGAGCATGGCATACTCGAGAATTCAACCAGTCGACTACTAGAGGCAGGAGCCACACAGCGCACGCTCCCGGAATGGCTCGAAGAATACGGCCAATGGAAGGTATCCTGGCCACATGACAAAGTCTACGCCTTCTTGGGTCTCGTACACCAGCCATCTCCGCTCCACCTGACAATCGACTACGGAGTGCATCCCGATATCCTCCACCACGAGCTCCTACAGCTGGACTATGAACGCACAGACAAAATTTTCCGCTTCAGCGAATACCTGCACAACTACCTCAAAGACCTGGCAAATTTTCAGCATCTTGGAGGTGTTCCTCTGCGCCGCCCCAACTTCAGCGAGGAACAGGAGAGCTTCGAATCCGACGTCACGGCACATCTTGTCGGCTCCGTCGATATAGTCACCGTGATGACGGAAGATGTGAGCCGCGACTGTGCAGCTTATAGCAAGGCTGTGGAAGGCTGCGGACGACATGGTGATGTGCAAGAGAAGAAGAACGAGTTGGCGGCCTTCTCATCTGCGTTATCGCGCATCGACCACAGTTTCTTCCTCCGCAGGGAAGCACCACCCTCATTTTACATCTGGCCCGAAGACACGCGTCTACGAGACGAGATCACCCAGAAATGGAACATGTACCGCTACAGAGCAGTAACACGGCCAACGGAGGCTGTTCTTCGCTCCAAGTCTGCAGGACACTGGCCTTCTGGGGAACGTGATCCAGGTCGGGGCCCTGGCGGCCCTGGCGATTCTGGCGGCTCTGGCGGCTCTAGAACAAGGCCGGTTGCCAATATCATCGAAGTCCCAGTCAGAGACACCGTCGTGGGCTTCGAAGAGATAAGAGAGTACCCAAACAGTCCCCGAACATCCCGCCGCTGGTTCTCGCTCGCCCACCCCCGCTTCTCCAACACAGGCGTATGCCTTTGCACAGGCTTCACTTACGGCGACATCCGCAAGCACGACCTCGTCTTCCAATTTCCAGACACCGATATCGTGCTCATCTGTTGTCCGGACAAGCGTGAAGGCGTCAACGAGGAGTTGGGCGAGTGGATCCCGCTCTGTGTGAAGGCGCGGGCGGTCCTTGCGAGAAATTGTTGCCAGCGGCCGGAGAAGACGAGTACGTGGCGGCAAGTTGGTGAGCAGCCGTTGCGGTTCAGGGGGTTGGAGGAGGGGGATGTGGATGCGTACCCGAGGGGGATTATACGTATGCGGACGCTGGATTTGATGAAGATGAGTGTACCTTTGCGGGGGGTTGACGAGGTGTAGAGCTTGTCGTCTAATCGGTTCCTTTTACTTACTGTGCTTTTCCACACTAGCTGACTTGTTGGACTTGACCAAGTAAAGCTCCTTTTCCTGTCTTATTATGCACTATCTATAGACCTGCTTCAGTACTCCACAAGTTCGTAGGTTTTGGGCAATTGAACAGGAGAGATGCTTCTCTTTTTTTCGACTCATTGATTGCGGAAGGTCTTCAGCAGATGTCTATTCTTCTATTACATCCGGTATCTTCGTATATGTATACAATTGGCACTCTCCGATACCTGAAGCTCTTCCTGAATGATGCTCTATGGCCTCCTAACCTCTTGAATACGCGAGATTACATACATCCTCAACACAACATACACTTCCATTAACTAACTCATCCTACCCTCCTCCTCGCCTCCCCCCTGTTTCCCAAGCATCCTGAGCGTCATGCAACTACATGGTCAAGACACAGAGGCAACAAAGCAGTAATCGATGTGATAAACTAAGAGTTTCTTCGGCCGTCTTCATTCTCCAGTGCACCAATCTTGCAAAATTTTCCAATAATCTAGATATTCCACATTTTGAACCGTAAGTCATACAAGCGAGGGTATCGGTATGCAACAGAACAACAAACAAACTGACACTACGTCTAAGCCTCCCCTAACCAGAATCAACAGACCTCACGCCTCATGTATTCACATTACGCACACAGCACCACCCTCGCCTATACACGACCCCAGATATAAACCCATACATCACAGAACTCTTTGCTCGCTCGCTCGCTTGCTAAATCGCCGCACAATAACCAATCCAAACAAACCCCTAACACCTCTTCCACACTCTACGTGCTATAAACAGGCGCCTTGATCAGGATACTCTTCCCCCTAATCTGCACTGCCAACCCCACCGCCATCCTGACTCTCGGGGCAGGCGGCTGTTGCTGTCCCTGAGGCTGGGTAAGGCTCTGCTGACTCCCACCTTGACCGAGCGACGACTCGCGTTTGCCGAGCTGGGCAGGCGCATTTTGTTTCTTCGACGCTCCAAATCCAAACATGCCTCGTTTCTTCTCGCTGCTGTCCTTGCCGCCTTGCGGTCCGGGCTGCTGCTGTTGGGTTTGCTGGTCCCCTGGCTGTTGGTCGGTGAGAGACGATGTGTCGTCGACTTTCGAGGCGACGCTAAGTAGAGACGCAGCGTCATCGTGGTCGAGGATTGGACTTGTCAGTGCGGGGATGCCGGTTTCAACGTTCATGTACTCAGAAGAGAGAGCATGGCCAGGTGGAAAGTACTCGATATGTACTTCGCGGCTTTCGAGCGGGAGATGCTGAGCGACGCTGATGGCCAGCTCGACAATCATGGGGACACCGCCGTTGAGGTCCGGGGGAGCGGGGTCATTGAGGAACATCTGCAGCGAGCCGATGAGGCTCTCGTTCAACGTTTCGATCAGATTGTTCCGGATTGTACTGCACTGGGGCGAACGAAGCAGGTCGGTCAGGCCTTCGAGAGTGGCTAGACGCCAGTTGACTACCTTTGCGACTAATGCGTCCTCCTCTTCTGTTGTCTGGCACGGAGTTGAGAATTTGCGGATGTTCAACTGGATCGTCCTCAATTGGGTTGACAAACTCGGTTCCAGATCAGGATGGAAGTACTTGTCGAAAATGTTGTCGACGAGCCAAGAGGAAATGAAAGCTTTACCCACAGCCGTCATCTCCTGCTTTCCGGTCTCCACGGCGTTCTTGTTCACGGCAGTGTGAAGCCAGGGAGGAATCGACTTCCAGTCTTTACGGATTGCAAACGACAGCTGTGCTATTAGTCCGTCCAGTCTGTTGAAACGCGTTGCATATTCGCTGTCGTCCCAGGACGTGCGCGAAAGTGACATGCGCTGGTTCGCAATCGTATTCTGCAAGGCATGCACCTGCGACTGCTGCTCGAAAAAGTACCTCTTCACCTTCTGATATTTCTCCCCTAAACATAGATGTTAGACAAACAGGGTATGAGGTCGACAAACTCACGTAATGTTTCGTGTTCCTTGATCAGATTGGCAATCTCCTCGTCAGACAAGTCGCTCGTCGCGCGGGGCGGCGGTGTTGCGCGGCCCATCTCATTGACTTGGCCTGGCTGGTTCGACTTGTCTCCACGGTATGGCTGCCCTTGGGAAGCTGTTGGTACGACGTTAGCCCCGAAAGAGGGAAGGCCAGGTGAAACCGGCGGGTGTCCGGGAATCTGACCTTGAGCAGGTGGCGACTGGAGCTGCGAAGACTCTCGAGAGGGTGCCCCAGGCAAGGAACCTCCGGCCTCGTTGACCTTTCTCAAGGTGTTCCTCTGGCCACCAGTCGCGGGCATGTTTTCTTGCCCTTGCTGCTGAGGAGTGTTGTTTTGTGAGATAGTCTCACCAGACTGCTGCGAGTTGTACGGCTGGTAGACAGGGGGCTGTTGGAGGGGAGAAGGCGGTGCAAGCTGATGCGACGAAGGAGGCCGAAGTTGCTGCTGGTGCGGATCCGCAATCTGCTGGCCTTGCTGCACAATCTGGGGAACCTGCTGAGTGGGCTGCGCAGGTTGGAACTCG